GGCTCGAACTCACAAACCACGATACCACGACCTGAGCCGAAATCAAGAGTCGGACGCTTAGCTGACTGAGCCACCCAGGCGCCCCCGCCTCCTCCCTGTTCTTCAAACACACGTGTGTGTGTTCCTGTCTCCGGGACTTGGCATTTCCTGTTCCCTCTGCTGGGAACATTTCTCTCCCAGGACCCCTGTGACTATGCAGCCTTCCCTGACCAGTCCCCCTTGTCCCTGTCCCTGCCCCTGCCCTAGACTGCTTCTCGGCCATCACCACCGTCCCTCAGCTCGTCCCCCACCCCCCGCCCCGGTGGGCCCCCAGGGGGTTGTTCTGGCCGTTCTACGTGCACACCTAGCCCAGGGCGGCCCACGGCAGGCGTGCCGTCGATAGCTGCCGAATGAACTAATGAGTCAGTAACAAGGTGGTTGTTGAAGCCTGGAACACATAACGCAAACGTCCACGGGCAGGAGAGGATGACGTAAAGGCATTTCCAGATGTGAGGCTCCTCTGTGGCCACGAGGGATGAGGTCAGTGTGTTTCATCGATGTGGAAAGATGTCCAGGGTATATTGCGTGAGAACCAGGTTTATAGGAAACGGCAGTAACAGTACAATCCCAGTTATGAGGACCTGTGCACACGTGTGACTGTGGACACACGGGCAGGCAGCTCAGACTAAACAGTCACGGGGGGTTTATTCATCTCGGTGGTTGGGGCGAGAAGCAAGCTTCAGGACCGGTTTGATCCAGTGGCTCAGGGAGATCCATGTCCATGCCTCTGTTCTTCCTTCCACCAGGTCGGTCCCACTCGAAAATGTCACCCACCTGTGGTCTCTAACTGGTGGCCATTTCTGGGGCTCCATCCACTCCTCCTGCCTCAGTCTTGTCCAGGGACTTTCTGGAAAGGAAACTTCCAGGGTGCCTCCCCTCCGTTCGTTGGCTGAGTTGGGTCATGTGCCCGCCCCTGAGCCAGTCGCTGCAGCTGGGGGACTAGCTGTTGTCTCGTAGGCCCACCCCTAAGGCACAGCTGCAGAAATGAAACTTGGGCTGGGTACCAGGGACAGGAGCCCTGGCATCACCCCCATCTTACAGATGAGGAATTAGAGGCCCCGGCATGCAACTTGACCTCCCTCGGCCCACACGGCGTGGTCAGTGGCAGCTGCGGGGGTTTAAACCCCCCGAAGACCCGCTTCCTTCCCCTCTGTCTGCCCGTTTCGCAGCCGAGGCTGTGCGTCCCTGGCCCTTGCTGTGCGCCGACAGCTGTGAGGGCGAGCTCGACCCCCTCCCTGCACACACTGCTCACGGCGCTCGCGTTTACTATATCTAGATCGGCATCAGCTTTTCAGGCGAGGCATTTTTATTTTGCCCTGAAAGCCTTCCAGGTGGGGGTGGGGGCAAGATGCAATTCCTAGGGGCTCAGCTTTAATGGTTTCTTTTATAGAATCGTTCGAATTATAAATGCATGAACTCGAGGAAACCCTGCTGAAGAATGCAGGAAAGCCGAACGTTTAAAGGGGTTAAGCTAAAATAGTGGTGGACAGGGGAAGTCTGCTCTTTTAAACACTGGCTGTTAAAAAACCAAAGCGAACCCCCTGGTGCTGGTCTGGTCCCTGGGAGGCTGGGTTTCCTGACTTGGGCCCGTCTGGGGGGCTCCAGGTGAAGTTCATTCCAGATGTGGACGGGCCCGCGGCCTCCAGAAGCTCTGCTCCTGCTCGCCTCTGGCTCCTCTCGCCTAACTCGGGGTGACGCATTCCTGTCGTGGGTACGCAGCCTGGGTTCAGATTCGGCTCAGCCCCTCCCCAGCTGGGTGGCCTTGGGCAGGTTACTCAGCCTCTCGGAGCTCTTCTCTCGCGAGTGAGATAGGCTTTCTTTGCCCCCTGTCTCTTGCTTTATTCTTCTTTGGGATACTTAACCACCAGCAGGCAGGACATCAGTCCCTACCGGCCAATGGCCTGCTTGTTGCCGCAGCCGAAAGGTAGACTGATCCCGGCTCCCTTCCTACTGCACACCCATCAGCAGAGCACAGGACACCGAGATTATTCTGCCCGCCTTCTCCTCTCTGCCTCCAGGACCCCATATCCTCTGGGTGTCCTCCTTCCTCCTGCCCACGCTTCTTCTAGGTCCTTCTGACTGGGCACCCCTGTCCTCTCGGTGGTGGAGACAGGATGCCTGGGCTCAGCCCTTGTACCGCTTGTCCAACTACACGCCCTCCCCAGGTGAGCTCCTCTCTGCCACCCAGACGGCCCCCCGACCTCTGCCCTGAGCCAGCATTTCTCCATCACTTGGGGAACGCAAAGCTCTGCCCTGAGAAGCGTCTGGGTGTTGAGTGGCAGAGGCGGGACCTGAACCCGGGACGTCTGGCACCGGGCCAGAGCACGTTTGGCCCCAGGTCCGTCTCTCCCCCCGGACCAGGAGCTGCACCCAGGCTGGGATGCTGTGCTTCCCACGCGCCAGCTTCCCTCCTGCGTCAGGTGGACATGGGGACCGCGGCCGCGAAACCACCTGCTTTCGCCCTCCACCCTCCCTTCCCCTCCCCTCCCCGGCTGATTCTCTCCACCCCACCTCCACGCCCGCCTCAGTTTCCCCACCTCCATAAACGGCCCCTCCCTTCCTCCAGGTGCCCAGGCTCAGAGCAGGAAGGTCAGGGATGAGTCCCCACCTCTTCACACCCTCTCTGTCCAGTCCCTCAGCAAGTTCTGTCACTTGTGTCTTTTCACAGTCCCTCCAGGGTCTGCTGGTTCCCAGCTTCGGAGGGACTCCCGTGACGCGACCGCTGGGCGAAGCTGGGGAAGGAGTGCGGGGGGCACGTCCCTGTGCGTTTTCTTCTGCGACTTCTCCTGTGAATCTGTATAATTATTTCAAAACGAAACACGAGAAATGAATTTAAAAGACGGAGTTGAGAAATGGACCGTTGAGGAGCCCCCCGTCCCCTCTCCCTGCCACGGCCCCGGTAGCCTCCACCGGCCCCCCCACCCGGCCCCCCCCAGGACACCTGGGCGGCTCTGTCACACGCAGCAGGTGGCCGTCTCGGGGTTGCCACTTCACGCAATCGCCTCGGTCTCCTGGGGCTACCGGGAGGCCCTAAACTGGGGGCCGCAAAACAGCGGGCCGCACCTTGCTGAAGCCTGGAGACCGCAGGCCCCAGGGCCGCACCCCTTCTGAGGCCTCGAGGAATGAGCCCTTGTTTGCCTGTCCCAGCTTCTGGGGGCCCCTGCTGTTCTTCCGTGTTCTCTGGCCTCCTTCCCTCCGGGTGTATGCACGTGGGGGCATGTGGGTCCGTGTCTCTCTGTGTCTTCGTGTGGCCTTTCTCTGAGGACACCCTCCGAGCCCATGTGACCTTATCTTAACTGATTGTGTCCGCAAAGGTGCTGTTTTCAATGAGGTCACATCCTGAGGTTCTGCACAGGCTTGAACTTGGTGGGGGCTGGTGGGGAGGGGACGCTGTTCGACTCGGTAAACAGAGTAAAGTGTTTGCTGTTGCCCACAGGACCCGACCTTACCTGTGCTCCTGAGAGTCCCCCACGATTCATCCCCCGACCCCTTTTCTTCCCTGCTTCCCCCCAGGCTGTGCTCCAGCCAGGCAGCCAGCGTCCTCACTGCTCGTTGAGAGAACCCACCTCGCTCCCTCCTCCCAAGCATTCGCCTCGGTAGTGCCCTCTGCCTGGAACGCCTGTCCCCACACATCCACATGGCTCCCCCCTCCCTGTCACGCAGTCCTCCGCTCAGACGGCCCCTCCGTGCCTCGGGTGGCAGTCACCAGGGCTGTGTGCAGCTGTCCCCGCCGTCCTGGGGCAAGCAGGCTTCTCCCACCTCTTGAGATAGGTGGATCGCATGACCAGCTCGGGCCAATGAAATGTAAATGCGACTTCCGCTAGCCTAAGACCTGCAAACCTCAGCCTGCCTGCCCCACCTGCCCGCACGGCCAGAGGGCAGGAGGTTTTCTCTGTGCGGTTCCCTGCTGTGTTCCAAGCTCCTGAACAGCATGGCACAGAGTAGATGCCGAATAAATACCCGCCGGGTGGACAGATAACGGATGCATGAATGAACCGTGAGGCGGGAAAGAAATCGTGTCCGGGCGGCCCCTCCCTGCTCACCAGCTCACCGTTTCTCCCATAATTGATCTTCTGTGCATTTGGCTGCTTCCGGTCTAGGGCAGAGCATCAACCCCAAGTTGGCGGGCCTGATCGGGAGGCACGGGCCCCAGAACAAGCAGCCCTTCATGGTGGCCTTCTTCAAGGCCACGGAGGTCCACCTTCGCAGCACCCGCTCCACAGGGGGCAAGCAACGCAGCCAGAACCGCTCCAAGACGCCCAAGAACCAGGAAGCCCTGCGGGTGACCAACGTCGCAGGTACGCCGGGCCGGGAGGGTTCATGCACAGCCCCTGAGGATCCCACAGGCCCCCGCAAGACCCCAGAATTCATCCTGTACTCAGCAAGTGACCCTCGAGCCGATGCAGCGGGAAGCAGACCCCGCAAAATCCTGTGCTGCGCAGATCCCACTGCTTTAACTGGACAAAGTAATAAGTTCGTGTAGAAGGCACATGGCGGCACCTTTGTGCATTACGTTCGTATACAATGTATACTAGTGTGTTTCCTTAGTATATGTTAGTATAACAAGATGCCAGTCATGTCAGTTTCCAAGTAGGGAGAATCACGGCCCCAAATAAATGAAAGCAAACTCTGAAAACATGCAGAGCAGGAGCCGCCGCCCCAACATCCCCAGGAAGGCCACTCCTTGGGAGAGGAAAGGCGGACAAACGGGGAGAGTTTGCTGTGTCTTTAATTGTATTTCTTAGGTGAAAAATATTTGAAACTCATGGCTCGCTTTAGTGCTTGTTCCACATGGGCGGTAGTGGGGGTTTTTTTGAACGTTATTTGGGACACTTTGAACGTTTGTTTGAAATGTCAGAAGTAAAGAGAAAAAGAGCATTAACTCTTTCAGTGTATTTTGGGGGGTACTTTGAGGTGCATTGAAATGTTGCATTGTGACAAGTAAACACGAACTGAAAATAAAGGGAACATCTTCACAGCAAGCAACTCCGAGATGAATAGCAATCCTGAAGGTAGTGAATTCCGCAACAGAAACTTCCAGGAGGTGCTACATTTATGTACTCTGTGCTTCTTGAGGCTCTGAGGCGGACGGCCTCCCATGTTGAAGAGGGCGCGACGGTGGGGCTCAGAGGGGTTAAGTCACTGGTCCGGAAGTGCACAGTGCAAGTAAGTGTCAGCCCTGGGATTTGAGCCTGTTGATTTTGCCGGGAGGCGTCTGCCTGCACTGGATGAGCTTGGGTTCCTCCACAGTCCTGTTCAGTGTTTTCTGACAATTCACCAGGTGCCTGCTGAGCCCTGCCTGGGCCTGCCTTTGTGCCGGCATCGGGGCTTGGCCGAGACATGGTCCCTTTCCCTACCGGCTGATCAAGCAGCAGGATGTTGATGGCATCTGGTGGCCTGCGGTCGCTGGGATGAGTTTTGGGGCCGGGCTGGCCTGGACCGGCCTCTTCAGCACGGTGGACGCCTGTGGCCTGCGTGCCCACACCCTGGTCCGTGCCACGTTCTGCGTAGCAGACGCTGCCTCTGTTAGGGAAAGATGCTTCTTGATTTCTCCCCCAGAGCAAAAAGAAAATTGCAAATAAATTAAGTTGGCCCGCAGACCACGTCCCCAGTGGGCTGCAGAAATGACCCACCGCCTCCGAGGAGCCCAGCTTGTGCCCCGTCCCCCTCGCCTTGGCTGGGTGTGCTGCTCTCCAAGGGGTATCCCTTGGCTCCTCAGGAAACTGTTTGCAGAATAATGCCCCCCCCCCGCCCCCGCCAGGCCTCCGATGTCCGTGTCCTTAATCACCAGAACTGGTGACTGTTTCCTTACGTGGCCAACGGGACCAAGGCTGCCGATAGAATCCAGATTGCTAATCAGCTGACCTTAGGATAGAGAAGCCTGGACGGTCCAGGTGGGCCCAGCGCCGTGCTGTCATCACGTGGATCCTTAAAGGGGGGAAATCTCTCCCCGAGTCAGAGGGACGGCGAGGCGCGATGTCGCTGGCTTTGAAGCTGGAGGCGGGGTGGGGCACACGTGGCGAAGGCGGGCTTTTCGAAGCTGGAAGAGACCAGGAAACAGATGTCCCCCTGAGCCTCCAGGAGGAACGAGGCCCCGCCGAGGCCCTGAATTCGGCCTGTGATGCACTTTCCGAGCTACAGAGCTAGAAGCTTATAAAGTGGTGTTTTCAGCCGCCGTGTTTGTGCTGATTTGTTGAAGCAGCCACAGGAGGCCCAGCCACCGTGTTTGCAGAGCGGTTGACTCAGCAGACGGATGTGCCGGAACACGTCCCCCGGAGGCCATCACGGAGCTCTGGGTGGGCTGCGGGGCAGGGCAGGCAGGGTCTGCAGCAGGGACCAGCCTGCCCGCCGCGTGGGGAGCTCTGAGCTGAGCTCATCGGCTCTGCCCGCCGCTGGGCCCGGAGCTGGCCCGAGAAGCATGCGGGGGGATCACGGGGGTGTTCAGAAATAGGGTGGTAAGCCGGCAGAGCGGCCCCGACCCCCAGATTGACCCCGTATTGTCATTAGCTTCTTTGGCCTCATGTGACCAGTTTTTAAGTGTCTGTTCGTTTTCCTTCTCGAAGAAGAAAGGGATGGTTGCTGTGCTTGGTAAAGCTTTCAGCGTCAGGTTTCCTGACCTCCCAGGGGCCCCTGGATGGACTCCAGTGGCCCTGGAGACAATGTGCAGGGGATTTGCAGGCAGTCTTTTCTGGCAGTTGGATCCGTCCGTTTTCAGGCTTCTCAAAAGGGTCTGTCATGCCCCCTAATTAAAATCCAGCAACCGGGGCGCCTGGGTGGCTCAGTCGGTTAAGCGGTTAAACGTCCGCTCAGGTCACGATCTCATAGACCGTGAGTTCGAGCCCCGCGTCCGACTCTGTGCTGACAGCTCGGAGCCTGGAACCCGCTTCGGATTCTGTCTCCCTCTCTCTCCGCCCCTCCCCTACTCACATTCTGCCTCGCTCAAAAATAAATAAACATCCAACAACTGGATCCCTTCCTTCGCATTGGAAGCCTCCTCTATGCCGGCCCTGGGGACGGGGGTTCAGTGGGGAAAGCCCAGCCACCATCCGTCCTCGAGGTTTGGGCCAGGCTGGAGGTGGCTGCCACTCCCAGGCACACTTACTAACAGGCCTGAGAGGCAGGGGGTGGTGACTAGGGACGGATGCATTGGGGGAGGGGACTTCAGGGAAGACTGTCCCCCAAGAGCTCTGGGACCAGCAGGTGCCCTCGAGGCCTGGCTGGGTCGGCTGGACCAGGGTGACCCAGGGAGCGGGCACAGAGACTTCTGGCGGGAGGCGACAGGGCGCCTTCGAGGGGAGAGAGAGGCCATGGTGGCTGGGACCAGGGGACGGCGGGGCTGGCAAGGTGAGCCATATCAGGCGCTTGGGAGCCCCGTCTTGAGTTTGAACTTCATCCAAAGCAAATTTGGAAGCCTTGGCAGAGTTTTAAGCTACGATGGGGGGGGGGGGGGGGGGCAGGGGTGATGAGAATCATTCTGGCTGTTGTTCTGGGAATGGCGAGGAGAAGGGTGGGGTGTCAGAGTAGGGACCCCCGTTAGATGTCTTTCCATATCAGCCAGGCAGGAAGCACGGGCAGATTCCTTGCCAGCCGACACGCAGGTGTGCCTCAGGAGGGAAGGAAGGGACCAGGCCTCAAAGTCTTAGAATTCGACACCCGGTTTCCCCCACTGCATCCTCCCCGAACCGGTCTCATTTACATAACCCCCAGGATGGGGCTCTCACTACCTCACGTGGCACCTCTTCTAGCTTGCTTGCGGTCTGCCTCCTTCCCGGGGCTTTCTACTTCCTGGCCCTTTTTGAAGTTCATCTAAACCCTTCCTGGACATTTAATTTAAAAGCCATAGTAAGGCCTCCCCCCGCCCCGCCCCACCCAGACTTGAAGCAAACCAGAATGGCTAGAATGTGTGGAGTACATTCATTCACGCCTTTGAAGTGCCAGCCCCACGTGCTGGGCTGGGAATCTACTCCTGAGATTTCTAAGCTGAATTCTCCTCTCATCACATGACCCATCGTGTGCGGGGGCCACATGCTCCAGCCTGCTGTCCTGCAGACTTTCTCTCTCCTGTCATCCCCTTCCCCTACATACACTAGAGCCTTCTCGTAGGCGGTGTGGTTGGGGATGGAAACCTGGGTCCCTGGCCTCCCGCCATTTATCTTCTCCCCACCCCCTGGTAATTAGGCAGCTCACCCAGGGCTAGGCGGCCTGGGAGGGGGGGTGGCGTCTTTAATCCCCAGCCGCTCAGGCAGGGGCAGTGGGCCCGGATGAAGCCGTGTGAGGCTGAGGAGGATAGAAGTAGGACCAGAGGACAGGAGCTGGGAGTCACCCTCTTCTCCCTGTAGCCTTTCACTACTAACCTGCAGTGTCTTGAACCCAGGACTTCTGACTGCTTTCTCCCAGAGCAGCCAGCTTGATCCAAGGAGGCCCGGAGTTACAGTGCAGGCGTCTGGGTCTCTGGTGGCAGGGCTGGTGCCCCCGCCCCCTCCCCACCCACACCTACAGCCTGGCCTCTGCGCTGCTCTGGCCTTGGTCTGTTGGGCCTTGGGTTTCAACCTGGTCTCATTGCTTCGCTAGGAACAGGATTAGGGGCCTGCTGGGTGGCATGATGGGTTAGCGTCCGGCTTCATGTGATCTGGCAGTCAGTGAGTTGAGCCCAGCGTCAGGCTCTGGGCTGATGGCTGGGCCTGGAGCCTGTTTCGATTCTGTCTCTCCCTCTCTCTCTGCCCCTCCCCCGTTCATGCTCTGTCTCTCTCTGTCCCAAAAATAAATAAAAACGTTGAAAAAAAAAAAAAAAAAAGACAGGATTGGGGAAAGTGGCACTCGGACCGACCCTCACCCTTCCTCTGCTCACGGCAGACATTACTAATCGATGCTGGCACCTTCTCCTCACTGAGCCTCGCGTAGCTTCGGATCCGTCGTTACACAGGACATGGAGCAGCCGGCAGCGAGGGCGCTCGACATAAAGCTTCGTAGCCGCGCCCCTGTCCCAAGCTGACGCGCTCAGTCCTGTCTTGTTCAGGCTGCTCCACGCGTCACTGGGCTGAGGGGAGGCTCCTCCTCCCTCCCCTCGACCTTCCAGCTCCCTACAGGGAAGGCGGGGAGGGAGGCCTGTGCACTGAAATTGCTGCCTTTGGCCACGGGCACTGCCACAGCAGTGGAGGCCATCTTTGCATTTCCGCTCTGCATTCCGGACAGCGTTGTGAATGGCCCGGTCGGTTTCTGGGGCTCTTCTCTGATGGCTCCCTTGACCTCGACCGTCACGTGTTGAGTGCCACTTGGCCCTCCAGAGGACCCCCGTAGCCGGCCCTCCGGCCGCCAGGCCCAGAGGTGGGGAAGGGGAGCCCGACCCCCCGCTGCTCCTCTGTCCTCCCAGCCACCCCTCGGAGCTCGGTCAGCAAGGCCCGCCTTCTCCCCCGTCCACACTGCCTGCTGCTGAGCCCCGCTCACCCCTCCTCGCTCCTGGAAGGTTCTGGTGCCTGGCCCTCTGTCCGTCTGTCGGCTGCTGGGGCTGTCAGGGTTCTCGCTGACCTTCGCGGTCACGGACGGCACGCTCCTGCCTCTCCTTCTGCGTCCTCAGGCTGGAGCGTTCCTCCTTGGGATGCCTCTCTGGCAGACTCTCACTCCCTTTCGGTTCTCGTGCCAATGTCACTTCCTCCCGAGGACCCTCCATCGCAGGGCCCCCTGGCAACACACCCCCTCTCCGGCCTTACTGCTCTCCTCGACAGGACACAACTCAAGCTGACCCACTGATTGATCATCTGTCTGTCACTGGAAGGCGTAGGCGCCTGGGGCAGGGCTTTGTTTTGTTGGCACCTGTAGCTCTAATGCCTAGAACAGTGGCCGCAAACTAGTAGACAGACCCCCAGGAACAGATGGCATCAGTGAATGAATGAATGAATGAATGAATGAATGAATGAGGCACCAGGCAGTGACACTGTGTCCCCCCCCCCCCGAGGTCATTTCTGTAGTTCTGAGTGTCTGTCGTGCTCAGTCCAACGCGGTTTTTCTCACCGGTTTGTAAATCTTTAAAAACTGCCTTCCTGGGCGCCTGGGTGGCTCGGTCGGTTGAGCCGCCGACTCTTGGTTTCGGCTCAGGTCACGATCTCAGCGGTGTGTGAGTTCAAGCCCCGAGTCAGGCTCTGCACGGCCAGGGCAGAGCCCGCGTGGGATTCTCTCTCTCCCTCTCTCTCCGCCCCTCCCCCATGCTTGCGTGCGCACTCGCTCGCTCGCTCTCAAAATAAATGAATAAACTTAAAAAAGAAATAGAAAATAAAAACTGCTTTCCTGGACTATAAAGATATGTATAAAATCGGGAATATTCACAGAGGCCGACGAAGGTGGAAGTCGCGTGCGATAAACCCACCCAGCCGTGAACACGGGCTCGTCACCTGAGCGTTTCCGGAAAGCCCGTCCGAGACCGTTTTCTGATTGCTGTGCCCTCTGCCGCCCTCCCCCTGCCCTCCCTCTGCCCTCCCTCCTCCTCCTCTCGTCCAGTGTTGCTCTGCCAGCCCGACCCCATTCTTCCTTCTCTTTTGTCCTTCCCATCCTCACTCCCGCCCCCCTCCATTTCGCTTCAGATTTGTTCTCCGCCTCGGGGTGGCCCAGGTGGCCGTATGTTTGGGGTGTCTGGGACAGCGTAATGTCTCGCAGGTGTCCGAAGGGGTTTCCTGATCTGCTGTGGCCGCCACATGTGACTTCCTAGAGAGCCACCCCACCCACTTCCCAGATGGGGAAGTTGAGGTCCGGGGAAGGGAATTCAGTGATACCCTTTTTATCTGACTATTTCCCATGAACCTAGAAGCCACACGGGGAGAATTCTCGTGAATCAGAGGAAGGCGGAAAACTAGTGGACGTTTCGCTTCTTGCCAAACGGGCGTGTCGTGGGATTTGGAGGAAACAAGGTGTTCGCTTTAAATGGCTGAAGGGTGTCTGTGTGAATGAAGTTCGTGTGTAGTGTTTTTTATGATCATTTAAATTCAAGTCGGCAGCGAAGTCTTGGCTTCAGGAGCAGGCCCCTCCCTCGCAGGTGGGCCGGAAGGATAAGGATCAGCAGCTTGTCGCTATGAGCCGAGTGTTGTGCGAGACTGATGTGAACGTTCGAGGCCGCCCCAGTAGGCACTGGATCCTCGGCGAACGAGGAGCCCAAGGTCTGGGAGAACCGGGATGTGACTCCACAGCTGGAGGGGCACCACCCCCTTCCCTGGTCCACACCCACTGGTCAGACTCCACTTGGGAGCCGGTGCGCTCTGGGGTCTACACCTCCGGGGTCTCTACCTGGGCTCCAGCTGACCACCAGCCCCACACCGGGACGCACCTTCCTAGGTAGGACCAGCTGGGTGGTTTGGCCGCAAGTCTCAGAAGCACAGATCAAGTGGCGTCAGCCGCCAGGGAAGCCATCGGCTCGCGGTGCCAGGGCCGGGTGGGCGCGAGGGTTGGTTGGTCCACAAAGTCAACGACAGTGGAAGCCCAGCTTTTTCGACCTTGCCCTTGTGTGTTCCGAGTTGGCTTCTTCTCAAGGCTGTGGCCGCGTGGAGCCATCAGGCTTCATTCCTCTTCTGCTCCCGGGTGATAGGCGGGAAGAGCTGAGCACCGTATCCCATGCGTCTTTCTTAGGAATCAGGAGACTTTTTCCAGAAGCCCCCAGCACGCTTCCATCCACGTGCTGTCGGCTTGGATCGGGCCATTCGCTCTTACCTGAACCAGTCCTCACTCCAAGGGTGGGAAATGAGCTGGTGAGCTCAGTCCTGGGTTCTCAACCAGGGCGGGGGGTGCCGGGAGCACCTGAGGCCGCCAGGAGGGCCACTCCCCTGGCCATCTGAGAGGCCTGACCAGGCAGCGGGAACGGGGTACATCTGGAAGCCTCCCAGGTACGGGCCAGGTGAGCAGGCAGTCCCGGTTCCTCCTTGTGTCTCTCATCCACTGGTTTCATTACCTTCTGGGACACTTAGGCCTGGAGGCATCACAGCTATGGACAGAAGCTCGGGCACTAACCTCTCCTTTAGTTGTGCGTTAATTACACAAATATCAGTGGACACTGGGCTCTGGGAATCCGATGGTGACCTCGCAAGACCTTTTTGAAGGGGCGACGTTCAGACAGGCTTGAATATCAAGTAGATCCAGACATACAAAGATCACAAGAAACATTTCAGGTGCAGAGAACAGCAAGTGCAAAGGCCCTGAGGCAGAGACAGGCTTGGCATTAGATTCACAGCACAGAAAGAAGGCCGGTGTGATTAGAGCTTAGTGCTTGATGGTTTAGGAATCCGGGTTCCAGAACACCTGACAGGCCAAGGGCAGGAGTTGAGAGATGTTGCTCGAAGCATGCTAGAAAGTTTTAGGTGGGAGAGAGACAAGGCATGGTTAAGGGAAACGATGTGCAGGATAGAAGATGATGCAGTAGCAACAGAGTGAGTGTGTGTGTATGTGAGAGAGAGAGAGAAAGAGAGAGTGTGCGCACGATTGAGAGAGAGAGAAAGCCGAGGGTTTCTGCGTGTTCACAAGTGCTCAGGCCCTAACCCAAATGCCAACAACCCTTACATACTTCCGGAAAACCCCAGCGCATAGTTTTGACTCCTGAAAGCAGCCTCAGGAGAGTGTTTTTCTGGGAGGTCAGTGGAATCTGACTTCCTGCCCTCTCCTTTCTTCCTGGTGGTGGGGGCCTTGTCCCAGGCCCCGTCTGCGCCCCCTCGTGCCCTTTCTTGAAGGGTGAGCCTCGCCAGTGGGCGGGCCTCACGGAAGCAGACCCCTTGAGCGGGCTCCCGGGGCCAGCACGGCGGCCTGTGGCCGTAGTTTGATTCCCGCAGGGAATCCGGGCCCATGTCTGCGTCTGAACAACACGCGTGGACAAAGACGCCCAGGGTCCGCAGAAGGGTCCAGAGCGTGGCAGGGGCTAAGGTGGCGCGGGAAGAGCGGGAATGCGGGCACGTCTTGCGTGGGCCGTTCGTCGGGGACAGAAGTGAGTTTTAAGGCTGCGGATACGCGAACAGCTTCTGCGTCCGAAAGGTCGCCTTCCAGCTTTCTGAGTCTGACCGTGCTCACGCCATTGCCTGCGACCGAGGGAACTCTAACGCGCGCGTGTTTCCTTCCCTCCCCACCCCCCTGCCCTGCCCCTCTGCTTCCCGTCAATGCAGAAAACAGCAGCAGTGACCAGAGGCAGGCCTGTAAGAAGCACGAGCTGTACGTCAGCTTCCGAGACCTGGGCTGGCAGGTAAGGGCGGTCGGCTGGGTCTGCCCGATGGTGGGGGCTCTGGGCTGGGCTCCCCCAGGCTCCCCCGCCAGGGCGGTGAGGGCTGTGTCCCACACGTACGGTGGGTCAGGTTTCTCACCTACTCGACTTGAGGCTCCAGCCTCAAGGGCCCTCGCTAGGGTAGACAATCCAGGTTAAGGATGCAGGGACGCCTCGTGAGATCCAAGAGCAGGAATGGAGTCAGGACGCAAGCTAGAACCAGCAGCCCAAACGCTCCGGACCCTGAGCCTCGTTCTCCACGTGGACTCCATTTCCATCCTGCGGCTGGCTGGCTGCTCTCAGACGCGGGGGAGCCCGTGTGCCAGAACGCAGCTGCCTGGAGGGCCGGCCCCCACCTCCTGCCCTGTCTGTCCCTCCCTCCCCCTTCCGTGATTCAGTTGTGCAGGGCAGGGAGTTGATGGAGCCAGCTCGGGTCGGGTGCTTGATCCTGAACCGGTCGGCTGTTTGGGGGATGAGATCACGTCCCGGGACCATGACTGCTCCCTCCGGAACCATTTGGATGGAGTGGGGTGAAGGGCAGGGGGTGTATCCCAGGACGGGCATGAGGGTCATACGCTCTGGTGATTGCTTGTGAGTATCTCCGACATCCTGGGCCCTCTTCTGGGCACCAGAGACACAGCCGTGAGCATGAACAGTGTGCCCGCCCTCGTGGAGCTCGGCCCCCCGATGGGGCGTTGAGATCACCAAGGCCACCGATTTCGTTCTCTCCTCAGTGAACTTGTGGTTCGGTGGGCGGGGCCAGACCCTTCCCTGGGGATCGCTCCCAAGCGCACCTTCAAGGCACTGGCCCACGGCCAGCGTGGAGCCCTCCCCTGGTTCTGGCCCTTGTACTCACGGCTCCCGTGCTCCACGGGGCACCCGGCCGGGCTGGAACCGAGCCCCAGACTCCGCTGCTGGAAGAATCCATGGACTTGAGTCAGTGAGGGGTGTGGGTATTGCTGGGACGGTAGTGCTGTGCTCACCTGACCGTAAAGGCAGGCACGGCCACGCATCCTTCACCAAGCCGCTCGCGTGCACCGGGCGGCTGGGCTGGCTTGGCTACACGGTCCTCTATCTGTTCTCCCCGTGGTGGGTGATCATCAGTCTGTTCCCCACGTGGGCGAACTGGCAGACGGAGATTTCGCCGAACGCAGACCGCCAACCACCTGGCAGTGCTAACGTGGACGTCCCCTCGGTCGTGCCACCTTCCCACAAAGCCGTGCGAGCGTCCGTTCCGGACTCAGCCCAGCCCCCGGTGGTCTTTCCTCCATTCTGCGTTCAGTGGGGACCGTGAAAGCGCATCATCTGTTTCTCCTGCTCCAGCAGGACCCCCGCTGTGCAGGACGGAACGGGGCCGGGTCTTTGTGCCCGGGAGCGCGGAGTGTGGCCCGCAGGAGGCGGTTTGGATGTGGAGGTTAGTGGGCCGTACGGGGCTCTCACTCGCCCTGATTCGCCCTCTCTCGCCCGCAGGACTGGATCATCGCTCCCGAAGGCTATGCTGCTTACTACTGCGAGGGGGAGTGTGCCTTCCCTCTGAACTCCTACATGAACGCCACCAACCACGCCATCGTGCAGACGCTGGTGAGTGCGGCCCGCCCGCCATCGGGGCGGCCGGACCCTGCCTCGGGCTCCCCCAGGCTGGGGCCCCCACCCCATCCCGCCTAGGCCCCTTCCTCCATAAAA